TTTTTTTACCCAAGTGGGTCTCTATAGTATGTGGTTATTGATCTGATTTGGTCCTGCCATGGTGACAAATGTCTTGGTTACATCCTGTTTAGGTTACTGTAACACATTTGTATCTGGAGCTATCTTTAAAGAATGTTCAGAAACTGGTACAGAATGCTGCAGGCAGATTACTGGCTTGGGACCACTTACAGGAACTATGCAATTCCCATGCCACAGTTTCACTTTCTACCTATACTTTTTCAAATCCAATTGAGAGTGTTAGTTATGACTTAACAAGCTCAAAGTGGTTTTGGTCAAGGCCATTTGAAGGATTGCAAACCACCATGTGAGTCTTCCTCAGTTTAGTATTCATGAGAGACTCTGTTCTCAGTCCTATCATCTTCACTGGCATATCTAGTAAGGGCTCAAGAAGATCTTTTCAGTGGCTGCTCCCGGCTATGGAACTTCCTTTTGGAGAAAACTCTGTCCACCCACCCAGGGTGAATTAAAATCAATAATTTTTTAAAAAATTTAAAATCAGATTTTAAAAATTTAAATCAGATTCATTTTAATGAAAAGCTTCTGGAGGAAAAATGTATCTAAAGATAGCTTTCTGTTTAAAATACATTATAATTCAAAGGTTATTCAACATGAAATAGAGCTTAGTTATGTAGTCTGAGGCTGTATATTCATGCAATATTTACATTTTTGGTAAACTAATCCAAGTTATTCAAGCTGAGATATTGTGAAATTTCTCACAGTAAAAATCGTATAACATAAACAAAGTTCAGGAAAGGACCTTAATCACAGTGTTCTTCTGCATTTGAAGATTACAACAGATAAACTGAGTAAAAAAATCTATGAAATGAAGGCACAGTATGTAAGAAATCAGAGAAATTAAATGAAGTTCAAACAGAATACAGTACAGTGATCAAATAAAATATTATATAGCAAAACATGACTTATCAACAATTATTGCATGGAAAGTGATCTGTAGTTATCCCTTTTTAAAACACTACATTTGCACAGCTTTCTAGCTAAAACATGCTGTGCTCTCCGACCAAATATTGAAAAAAAAAAGTTTTACTTATTTACTTATCCCAGGGAACATGTTCCTAGAGGTTAGAGGAAAGAAGTGTCAAGTTGGTCCAGGAAAATTCAGGTGGGAAAATTTAAAATAAAGGAAATAAAAATAAAATAGGGAAGAAGTAAAGAAATTTTGGGAGATCAAGAGTTTATTCCAAGCAATCTCCAGGCTAAAAGTCTAGTCCAACGAAATTCTAGACCTGTGTAAAAATTACATGGGAAAATTCCAGTTAGGGGCATTTGGAATCTTCTGATAGAAGTAATTAACCCACTGTAAAAGCTGAAGTTGCTGTCAGTAAGATGGAAAGGTAAACTGAGACCAATAGCTCCAAAACAGTCAGAGTCTGCCAAAAATGAACATTGCAGCTGAATACATGAGGTGAAAGTTTGGCACTCTGCTAAGGTTTGTTTCTTGTTTGACTGGCATTCTTAATTTTCCTGAATTCTTACTAGCCCCCTTTCCCTTCGTAATTACAGAAATATGAGTTGTATTAAAATAATTTATTTTAAATTGTGCATTAATCATTAAATGGTATTTGGGATATGTACTTATTAAGATCTTGAAGACAGTTGTTTTGCTGATAACCTAAGATTATGTGTAGCTGGCTTATCACATGAAGGAATAAACTTGTAGGTTTAATTGTTTATATATTTTCGTACTCAAACGGAAGTTCTGTGGAATTTTCTGATGCTATAACCAAATGAAAAATGTAATAACTCTTGAACAGGTCATTGTAGAATTAAGGACACCTGAACTTGATGCACACTCTTCAGTGAATTTGAATGAAGCCTCTTTCAGCACCCCTAGCATCTCTGAGAGTATGTTTAGCGTATCTACCTCACAGGTCTCCCAACCTAGGTAAGCCTTTTTATTAAAAAAATCTGTATGAAATAAATACATCAATAAATATTCTACTTTGCATCTCTTCTCAGTATGAGCTACAAATGTGTAGTATAGGACATGTAGCCAACTCTTTGCATTTATTGAAATTAGCATGTTGCATTTATTAGAAGTTACTTAAATTTACAGTGAAAATACTGTACTGTAGTAAGTTTCAGTTTATTGCCAGGTGGATTTTGTGAATTAATTTTTTAAGGAATTGAAGTAGAGAAAGAAACAGAAGGGATTAGCTGTCTGACACAGTGCTGGGAAGTAGCTCCTGAAACACCCCATGATGCTTGAGGGAACATTTAGCAGTACAGGTTTTGTTGCCATTGCAGATCTTCGCTGTTTACCATACTGATAGATTTGGAAGAGATAGCCGTGTTAGTCTGTCCTAGAATATCAGCCAAAAATTGAAAAAAAAAGAGAAGATAAACATGTTGTGGCAACTTGAAAATTAACTGCTATATATTATAATGTGAGCTTTTGTGGACTTGTCTGAGGAATTGGATTTTTCCACGAAAGCTCACATTAAAATATAGTAGTTAGTCTTTCAGGTGCCACAGTGTCTTGTTTATTTGTTATTTTTCTTTTGTTTTTTCCTGCTATGTCATACTATTTGTCTCTAGAAGATACTCCTTTTCCACTCTCAGTTCCTACCTCCATGCTATGATTAAGAGGAATACACTCCAAGCAATTCTTTCTGAAAGATAAAGTCTCCTTCATTGGGTGTCCTAACTATGTAAGGCTCTTCTATAGCTTATAACATACTAGGCAGAAAAATATTTTGCTAGCCTACTAGAGCTGGCAGAGGTGAGAGAGAGAGCTTTGTCCTTTTTCTCACATACAGTGGTGCCTCGCTCGACGATGTTAATTCATTCTAGCGAAATCTCTGTAGAGTGAAAACATCGTCAAACGAAACAAAAAACCCAATTGAAACGCATTGAAAACCGTTCAGTATGTTCCGATGGGCTGAATACCTGGTTGTCCAGCGAAGATCCTCCATACGGTGGCCATTTTCAGTGCATGTAAAGCGAGGAATCCGTCCTAGAAAACAGTGAGGGGCCATTTTCTTCAGCTGGCGGCCATTTTGAAACCCGTCGATCAGCTGTTTGCTGATCATCATAAAGCGAAAATTGGTTCCTGAAGCAGGGAACTGATCATCGTTAAATGGAAAAAAACAACATTTAAAACATTGTTTTGCGATCGCAAAAGTGATCACAAAAACCTAATCGTATAGCAATTTCCTCGTTAAGCAAGGCATGACTCTACTACTTTTAGACCAGAGGGTTTCCTTCCTCTGGCAGTCTGCTTGTTTTCTTTGCTGAACACAGAGGAAGCCCATAGCTCCTTAACTGATCTGCTCACTTGAATGGAATTTCTTGTCTACTATAGCTGTTAGGCAAACTACCAGTGAGCCTTTTGGGTTACCAAAGCTTAGAAGGCTGCTGTTAGAATGAGAAGGATTTTCTCTTTTGTTCATAAATAGTGATCCCAGATGAGTTAAAAACTAGCAACCTCGTTTACTTTTTATGTAGTGAACATCTAACCTTTTAAATATATGTACATATATATTTCAGTATAATAGAAAATTCCAGCGCTGACAACTCTGTAGCCACATCTGCTGAAGCTGAACAGTCAGAACCTGACTGTGAAATTAGTGGGGTACTTGAGGCTGGCCCTCAGAATGAGCAGTCTTCTCTTGTCACTTCACCAGACAAGTAAGTATTTAAACAACTAAAATTGGCCATTTGTTTGCTTTTTCATGTACTGATTGTTTGATGCTTCCAGTTTTAGATATATGATCATTAACAACCTGAAATCTAACAATACTTCAGTTTATATAACTAGGGCAGTTTCTAATGTTGACATATTCTTAGCCTTGTAGATCAACATATAGAAAATATATCTGCACATAGAAAGGGAAAGATGACAAAATCAGAATTTGACTCGGAAGTTGCTGCAACTGAGCAAAAGACAAATCCCAAATCTGCACTGAATGCTTCGGGTAACATAAGAGGGGAGGTACGTGGAGTAACTCAAAATGTCATTATTAACATAAATTGTTGAAGTGAGCATATATCTCAGTAAATGACAACATGTTTTACAGTGGACCCTTGACTTACAGACGGCTTGACTTACAGACTTTTTGAGTTAGACTTCTCTGGCCGCAAAATTTAGATTTGACTTGCAGACTGAGATTTGACTTACAGACCAGAAAAAAACTAAAATGGAACAAAAACGGCCTGTTACGGGATTAATCGGTTTTCAATGCACTGTAGCTCAATGGAGACTTGACCTACAGACTTTTTGACCTGCAGCCACCGTTCCAATACGGATTAAGTTCTGAAGTCAAGACCCCACTGTACTCTGCGCCATTTCAAAGTTGTTTTATAATTTCCCTTTGTAAAAAAAAAATCAAATGTGTATCCTTACTGCTACCTAGATTTGGACCTTCCAGATGTTATTGAACAGCAGGCCCTGTCCTTTCTCACCTCTGCTATTCAGGCTAAGCTTTATGAGAGTTATGATCTAAAACTGTCTAGAGGAGCGGTACCCAACTTTTTCCCAACTGTGGACTGGTTGTGGGTGGGTGTGGCACACCTGTGGGGGTGTGCTGCGCCCACAGGGGAGTGGAGCGCATGAGTACACATACATACAGTGGCACACGCAAGGGGTGCATGCACACAGCATGCTCGCGGGGGGAGGCAGCGGGGAAGTTCAAGTTGGAAATCCCCCCAACTTGTGGCACACTTGTGGGGGTGTGCTGCACCCACAGGGGAGTGGAGCGCATGAATACACATACGTACAGTGGCACCCGCAAGGGGTGCATGCACATAGCATGCTCACAGGGGGAGGCATGAAATATGTGTCTGTGGCCCAGTCCTACCTAGGCTGCAGACGGCTGCCAGGTTGCGGACTAGGGGTTGGGGACCCCTGGTCTAGAGGACCACACTTTGCTCACTGCTGTATTGATAGATCATGCTTATTTCAGACATAGGAAATACTTAAGGTAGTTATTGATTTTATTAATTTAAAATTGACATCTTCCTTTCCTGTGGCAAGTATACTCAAGGCAACTAGCAATGTAAATGTATAACTATATAAGTGATGAGACCAGTCAGAGTACAATAACTACACGACAAGATAGAAATTGCAAATCTGCAAGTAAAACACTCTATCCCAGATTTCTGAGTAGAAAACATATGTTGGAATACAATGATTTAAAGAGAAGTCTAGGCACACCTCCATTAAGAGTCTAAAGCAAGATTCTGTGTCTGAATGGTCCCCCACTTATCACCAATGAGCTGGCAGTGAGCAAGGCAGACACTTTTGTCCCGAGCTTTTAGAGTACTAAGCCAGTGCTATAAATTGAGCCTGGCAGAAAATTGATAGCCAATCAAGCTGAGATAGTCAGTGATGTAGGATCCATTCTGTTTCCTTGCAGTAAAGTCTGTGCATCAACTGAACTGTCTAAACTGACCTCAAGGATATCCCAGCATATAGTTGCTGAAATTCAGTAGCAGAATTTTCTCCGCATAAGACTGGTTATGTCATCAACTGCGGTGGTTTCTCATAAATTAAACATTTATAACTCTTCCCCCCCCCCAACAAAATATCTCAGGGTTTCCCTAGAATTCCTGTTGTTGCGGGTTGGGGTAGGGGTAGCCACTGACAACCATAGCGTGGGAGGGAAGAGTCTTTCATTTCTAAAAATCCCTGCTGTGAAGGTGATTGCTGTGGCTGTAATTTTCAGAAATTAAGACTTCCTCCCATCCTGTGGTTCTCAGTGGCCTCCCCACAACAAAAGGGATCCCAGTAGACTTAAGTTATGAAAAACTGCTACTTCTGCTGATGTCATCAGCCTTGTGCAACATATATCATGCTGTTGGATTTTAGTGCATTATAGGAATCCAAAGTGGAAAAGAGAGAATACGGCTTGACCTTTGGTCATTTCTTTGAGAAACATAAACCATTATAAAGTTTTTGTTCATCATTTAGTTTCCCAGAGTACACTATCATTACCAGTTTTGGTATATGTGACTATACAGTAAGTAGCTGCCTTATTCCCATCATGTTATAAAATCACAAGATACTGCATTCATCAGGGCAGATGTTTCTATTCTGTTTTAATTCTAACCTTAACTCTAGCAAGAGCACTAGGTATTGTCCAATAACTCTGCTATATAGCCTGCATATTATCTGATTTTTCCCCCCTGAGTATCAAAAAACCTGACACTTTTTTGGTGCCTTGTACAGAGAAAAGCAGGAGAAATTGACCCAACTTCTGTAATAACCCCAAAGGACCCAGGAGACATTCCTACATTTGATGAATGGAAGAAACAGGTTATGGAAGTGGAAAAAGAAAAGAGTGAGTTCAATTATTTTTTCAGTCAAGCTTTGTATAGGATTATCCTTTACAAATCCAGGATTAATATTGACTTTTTTCCTGACTTTATAAAGGTAAAGATAAAGGTCCCCCTTGACATTTTCAGTCCAGTCGTGTCCGACTTCAGGGGGTGGCGCTCATCCCACTTTTCAAGCCATAGAGCCAGCGCCTGTCTGAAGACAGTTTCCGTTGTCACGTGGCCAGCGTGACTAGGGAACGCCGTTTTACCTTCCCCCCAAGATGGTACCTATTTATCTACTCGCATTTACATGCTTTCAAACTGCTAGGTTGGCAAGGAGCTGGGACAAACCAGCGGGAGCTCCCTCTGTCACGTGGATTTGATCTTACGACTGCTGGTTTTCTGACCCTGCAGCACAAGCTTCTGTGGTTTAGCCAAAGGGTTTTGTAAACACAAGGAGAAGTGTTCTATTTTATTCTATTTTATTTATAAATGTAATGCTAGATGAGTAATAGAACTCCTTGTTCTAAAACATAGTACACAGATTTCCTTAGACTAAGCTTATGTCAACAGTGACCCACATTTCCCTGATGACTTTACTGTTGGTGGCCAGAATCCTATTGGAGTCTTACATATTTGCATAATTTAAATTGTGTAATCATGATAACAAATTTCTGCTAATGAACAAGTTGACACTTGCATTGTAGGTCATCTACCAAGTTGTGTGACGCAGTGTGAGTGCTGATTATTTTGCAATAGTTTGCCACTATAGTTTACAGTAAAACACTTAAAATTGCATACATCTCAATAGGATTCTGCCCATTGTTTTTAAATCTGCTTCTGTCTTAATAGTTTATTGAGACATCTAAATATTCTAGTCTTGTGCCATTTCTTGCTTTTCTTAAGGGCTAAGTATAAGTTTGTTGTATTTTAAGAACAGATCCTTTAGGCATGGGTATTGGAAAAATAATCTGTCTATTTTGATGCAATTCCTCTGCGAGCTGTATTTTAAGAACAGATCCTTTAGGCATGTGTATTGGAAAAATAATCTGTCTGATGCAATTCCTCTGTGAGATGTTTAGATTTGGAAATGTCAGTAAACTGAGTCAAAATACACGTCTGTTACTTTTGTATATTAATTGCCCAGATTATGTTCATTACTAAGAGATAGCATGCAGTTGTATTTGTTTTTTAAATGCTGGTTCATCTTCATGGTGTCTGTGAATCTCAGGGGGTTATTTCTGCATCTGCATAAAACTCCTCGGTACATTCCAGAGTCTAAAGAAATCTGTTAGGCCAGCTACCTGTAGTACACATGCCCCTGCCTGTAACAGTCAGCCCTCAGTTCCCTTTCAGCTCTGCTGAGGAAACATCTTAGAGCATTGTCCAGAGCCATTTTCATCAGATTGTTCTAAATAGTTCTTACTTGTTTGTCATCATCTACCCTTCTCTGTTGTCATCATGAGTCTCCACTAAAAAGAAATAATAATGTTAGTCATATTTCAGGCCTACCCACCTTTTATGGGCCTGGCAGGCCTTTTCAGGAAGTACTGTATACCACATGCACTAACAAGAACACCCACACTGATGGGCATTAAAAATAATTGTACTGCCTTGGTGAAGGGTGTCAGACCCCAAACTGTCAAATTGGCTGTACTAATATCACCATAAAGAACCAACAACCCTACCTAAATTTCTATTTGTGGGAGAAGTCACTACAGGCAGTAGATTCCATATCTTCATAAGTTCTGGCAGCATCTGTCTGTGAAACACCTTCTAGGCAGGTTCTCATGGTGACACTCCCAGACGGAATTGTCAACCATGAGACCCAAAATGTCCAAGTGATAAAAAATCTAGAGAATAGCCACTAGTACCCTAACCTGCCCTTCAGCAACATTCACTGAAGGAGTAGGAGCAGGATGACTTAGTGTGTCTTGGTTCTGCCTCTGAGGAAGAAGTTTCTCAAATTTGTGCCTTGTCTCCAGCCTTCACCACTCCCTAGAGTGGTCAGCTCTGCAGTGGACTTTAAGGAAGCTTTTCCCACTACATCAAAGCCCACACCTTTTGCATCCTGACAACTCGGCTCAAAGCCAGAACCACTTGCAACCATATTCTTTGGAGTTGGTGCCCATGGTGAGAAAGAAAAGCTTTGTAAGATACCCTGTCACAAGACAGTGTACCCACCGCTGTACTACTTGAGCACCTCCTTTCTGTCTAGGGCCAGAATGCCACTTCCCACCATCCTTCTTTGATTATCTTGGGATGCAGAGAAAGAAGCACTCTGGCTCTCTCCATGGTCTACCTATGTTCTCTCTGATGTCAGCACACCACATTTATGAGTATGAGAGACATAAGAACTGAGCACAGTGGAAGAGACATGACCAGTTGATGCCACTGAAACAAATACAGATGCATTCGATGTTGAAATCACTGGTACATGAGCATAGATGACCAGTGTCGAAGTCACTGATGCCACAAAGACACAAGCATACAGCATTGACGACGTCTCAGCCAGAAAGATCCCATTTGGCTTTGAACCCTTGTCTACAAAGCACCATAGAAACTAAAAGAAATCATCTAAGCATGCTTCACCATCAGGCCATGGTTTGAGGGAGAAGTTGACATCAAGGGATCACAGGAACATTTGGCCTCCCACTCCTTATATTTATCTCATTCTATAGTGTCAAACTTTTGGCTTCGTCCCCATCAACCAAATGGAGATAAAACAAGTCCCAATTCCGAGAGCACAGCTTTGGAATCAGACATGACTAAGCAGCAACACTGTACCACGGACTCTTGTTCTTTGGTTCCAAGGGACACTAATGTTAATCAGATCAAGTCAAAACATCAGTCTTATCTGACTGGTACCCATTTGACATCAAAGCACACATTTGAAGATGAAGAGGCTTACACCACAGAAATACCGAATTGTCTTCCTCCACCAGAAAATATCAGATGTCTGCAGGACCCTGGAGTTTCTCTACCTCGAGAACTAGGCACTTTGGGAAATCTAGGAAATAATTTGTCAGTTATCAGGGATCCAAAAAAGGTGAACAGATCATGTCCCAATACGTATTGAAATAGCTTGTGAGGACAATCACACTATCTTATCAAGTGATGAAGAAGTTGGTCTGTGAAAAAAGGTGAACAGATCATGTCCCAATACATATTGAAATAGCTTGTGAGCACAATCACACTGCAGTATCTTATCAACTGACGAAGAAGTTGGTCTGTACATCTTTGAGGGATATTCCACTAGAGCTGTATTTCGGGTTTTTAGATAAATTCAGTTAAACATATGCAAAGCAGTGTGTGGCTGGATGTGAGGGTGAAACTCAATGCTGTATTTGACAGAATAGTAATTTAATTTGTCTTTTTAGGCCTTCACACCTTGAAAAATGGTGAAAAATGTTTTTTAAGAAAGAATTGAAAGGCCAGGGCACATATGGGGGGCCTGGATTCTGGGTATAAACAGGAATTCAGTACAGTGGTTTAAAGAAGGCTGATATACACAAGCTGGTAAGTGAACTTGTCAGTAACCTACATGTGTGATTCCACAGAGACCATGAAGGCGAACAGGTTACTTGCCTGTAATTATAGTTCTTCTAGTGGTCATCTGTGAATTCACACAAATCACTTATCCTTTCCTCAGTCTGCAATGTAACTATTTTTCCTTTTTAATGACAAGCTTGGTGAACTGAAGGCTGACTTTTAAGTGCAGAAACATGTGTACAACAGAGACCTGGTCTAATAGTTTTCTTTAGACTCTGGAATGTTCTTTGCACAGGTGCAGAAACAACCCCCATATGTGAACTCACAGATGACCACCTGAATGTTCTTTGCACAGGTGCAGAAACAATCCCCATATATGAACTCACAGATGACCAGTCGAAGAACCACAGTTACAGGTACTTGCAGAAACATGTGTACAACAGAGACCTGGTCTAATAGTTTTCTTTAGACTCTGGAATGTTCTTTGCACAGGTGCAGAAACAACCCCCATATGTGAACTCACAGATGACCACCTGAAGAACCACAGTTATAGGTAAGTAACCTGTTCTTTCTACTCATAGAACAGACTTCCTGTATATGCTATGTCCTGCCAAGGCGGTTTGAAATGCAGACCTATACATTTGTCCATTTGGAGACTAGATACTATCTTTTCTCAAAAACCCAAAGCAACCCTTCTTCTTCTCCATCTGTCATACTGCCATTGGAGTCTGCTGCTTACTTCTGCTGACCTAATAATCTTCAGCTCATCTCTTGACCCCATCCACTGTGCTGAAATGATCCTTTGCAAAATTAGATCACTTCCATGTATTGCAGCTGCTAAATCTAAAAGTCTCTGTCCACTTCTCATTCTTCCTAATCACTAGACCATCTCTGATTATAGTTGGTTCTCCTATTTGATTCTCTTCATATCTTCAGTGGCTGTGATTCTGTCTTTAGCTGGTACATTCTTGATTATTTTTCACTGATTTCATAGAGCAAGGTTGAGGAGCCTGAGGACTTCCAGATGTTGTTGAACATCAATTCCCATCATCCTTCCATGTGGCCATGCTTGTTACAAGGCCCATGGGCTCCAGCACAACACCTGGAAGCCTGCATCTTCCTATCTGAGGCCAGTTTTTCTACTGCTCTTTCCCCTCAGAATTCTATATTTGGACTTCTCTTATTTTACACACTGTTACTGGGCGACCACATTAAATCATTGTCACCTGTTCACTGATGGCACCAAGCTCTACACTTCTGCTCTAGGACTGGCCACCTGCCAATGCTGCATCTCCAATGCTTCTGATATTTTCCATCAGTCCTTCCTCATTTTAAATACACTGTGTCCAAGACCAAACTGTCTTCACCTGAGCCCTGCCTTCATATGCTTTTTATATTTGTTGACAAGATCACCACCCCATCCTGTAATGGACAGGTGTGTTACCTTGCATTCTTTGTTCTCTACATATTAGTCTTTTGCCAAATCATGTTGCCTTTCCAATTACAACAATTGCAAAGTATTCTTTATTTGCAGAAATGTGGCCCCTCTTTCCTTTCAGCAGAGACGCACATCACTGACAGGGATGTTTCATGCCTGTAGTGCTACAATCTTCTCTTCTAGTCTTCTGTTGTTTCACTTCATTCTTTTATCCTCCGCCTAATATTTACAAAATCATTCTCCTCTGCTGTTGTGCTGATCATATATTGGCCTTTTTAAAATACAGTGGTGCCTCGCATAACGAGTGCACCGTTTAACAACGAATCCGCATAGCGATCTATTTTTTAGATTGCTAATGCGATCACATTGCGATGTTTTAGTAGGTAAACATCGCATTGCGATGATCGGTAAGTGTTTCGCTTACCGATCTTCGCATTCCGATGTTTTTTGAACAGCTGATCGGCGGTTCCAAAATGGCCGCTGAGTGCCCAAAATGGCCACCGCAACCATTTTCGCGCCCTGCCCTCGCTTACCGAGGGCGCGAAAATGGCGACGCTATGGAGGAACTTCACTGAACGGTGAGTTTGGGCCCATAGGAACGCATTAAACTTCCGTTCCGTTTAGCGATGTTTCCTCATAGCAACGATTAATCCGGAACGGATTAACGTCGCTATGCGGGGCACCACTGTAACTGTACTGGATTCCTGTGTATATCCAGACTCCAGATGTCCTATGTAATGTGCCCTGCTTCTTCAGAGGGACATTTTCTGCCATGCCTTCCACAGATTCCACCCCTGTGGAATGCCCTAACATAACTAAGCTTGGGCGCAGGTAACTAATCGTATATTGTTGCTCGGTTTGCCCATGATTCCACTTGTCTCTTCTGTTTCCAGTGTGTTGAATTTTTAAATTGTAAGCTTCTTAGGAAAGGGATCTTTAATTTGCAGTAATGCACCATGCTCATCAGAAGTCGGCCCTACCTACCTACCTACCTACCTACCTACCTACCTCCTACCTTACCTACCTACCTACCTACCTACCTACCTACCTACCTACCTACCTACCTACCTACCTACCTACCTACCTACCTACCGAACAAATGTCCTGGTTCATTCAGGAAAAAATGTAACTTTATGTTTGTGAACTGCCATGAACCAAACGAACTGCCATTTTGACAGTTTGTGCTCCTCTCTAATCAGACTAATTCTCTGAAAATTCCATATAATAGTACAGCTAAAATGTTTCTATTTCTGGAATCAGCAAGCATTGCATCCTCATAAGGTATAATGTAGAATTCAGAAATAAAATGTGAGGGATCTTGAAACAAACTGCTCTTTCTTATAGATTTTTCTGGTAAATAGATAAAGCAAGTAAGGGGAACCTTCTGCCTCCAAGGTCCAGATCCAGGCCACCCAAGGGTCTGGAGATTCTTTGGCCCCATATGAGAGATTATCCTGCTGTGTACCCTCCATTTGGCAAGGTATACAGCAGACAGGTATCTCATTGTTAAATCCACTAATATTTCAGAATGGGAACAAATGGGATGGAAGGCAGCATCTGGTATTTGTGGTAATTTACCAGGGATAAGTCTGATTAGAGATAACAGGAAGTGAAGTGAAAGGTGTACATTTGCCTTTGTGTCACTCTCTATATGGAGAAGGGGATGTGAGCTTTCGGAGGGGGCAGGGTAGAGGATGAGAGGAGCCAAGGGCCCTGCGCTTTCTCTCTCTCTTTCTTTCTTTCTTTCTTTCTTTCTTTCTTTCTTTCTTTCTTTCTTTCTTTCTTTCTTTCTTTCTTTCTTTCTTTCTTTCTTTCTTTCTTTCTTTCTTTCTTTCTTTCTT